AAAAAAAAAAAAAAAAAAAAAGGCCTAGATCATGCAAACAAGAGGCGAAAACACGGTGCGCAAATATTAAAAGCGTCGACGAGAAAACGGTGCAATGAACTGCGGGGGGGAAATCGATGTGGAAAGAAGTGCGAACGCAGAAGCGTGTCAGAAGTCTGGCCAGTAATGTTATCTTCGTCAATCGATGAAACGCACCGAAGCTCGCGTGACTTAAGCCGAGCGTGTATTGTAACGCTTCGCATATATTCCTGACGCAATCGAGATTAACTAATTTTTTTATAATAAACCACAATGGGTGGACAATGTCAGGTGAAATCATTCGTAGGATATTAAAAGAACAAAAACTAATTATCACGGTGAAAAAAAATGCTTTGATGCAATCCCCCCCTCCCTCTTTCTTTTTTAACGTATCGATGGAAATCAAACGTTTCTTCGAGTTAATGAACAAGATACGAGGAAACAATTGCGTTTTTTTTTAATTGGAAATAAATGAATGATAATAAGGTGAATTGCTACAAATTGTTTCCACGAAAGTTGAGATATTAAGGTAAAAAAATTATGTTTTTTTTCTTTTTTTTAAGTCAAATTATTACTCTTAAAAAAAATTTTCAAGATTTAATAAAGAGCTTAAGATTTTTAAAGCGAGAAAAAATTCTTTTCGTATTATTTCGAGTACTACTATTATTTTAAAGATCAAGGAGAAAAGTAAGCTTTTGTTGGGAAGAATACAGCTTGTACTACATTATATGGCCCGAAAAAGTTTCTTTTCATATTCATATCCAATTTCAACTTGGAAAAATGGTAAACGGTTGAAAAAATCGGGAAAAGAAAGGAAAAGAAAAGTTTTCAGCTGCGTTTAATAATACGTACGCAAATAACGGTTGCTTGAAATTATTTGAAATTATCAAGCATTTGGAAGAGATTTTGAGACCGCATTTAATTTTAATTTCGTCGGTTCTTTTTATTTGCCCCGATACACCGCGACAGTGACGAGGCTCTATCATTGCAAAGATTCACGCAAAATTAATTCCGATATAATTCACAAAAATATATACCGCGAAAAAATGATAGGTAAATCGTTGAACGAGATTGGAAATCGAATTCGAAAACAAGCAACCACGAAGCAGAAGCAGAAGAACGGAACTTTAACTATCTAGGTTTGGAGAGTTTCATTGAACAATATTTCGCAAAGTATATACATTACGATTAAATCAAAATCAGTCCATAGAAAAAAAAGATTAATTAGAAACACCTTTATATTTGAAAATTTTATAATTAATAATCGTAATTATTTAAAAATCATAAAAAAAATTAAAATATAAAATATAATCAATAAAATTTAATTGAAATTCAATTGTTGAATCTTTATAGAACGAAATAACCGAGAGCGATTTAGTTTCGAAACATGACTACATAATCATATCTAACCCTTTTATTATTTAATATTTTTTTTTTAATGCATAAGTCGATGGTTAAAAAGGGAAATCGAATTACAACGATGTATGTCATGTTATTCAACGTACGATAAACCACTTTCTTGTTTTGGCAAGTGGTTACACACGAGCCCAGCATTGCGAAGCTCTCACCTCGGATAACTACAAGAGCTTTGTTATATGGAAAACCAGGTTCTCATGAATACATTCGATTCTGGTCAATATCGGTGGATTTGTTTCCTGTAATGGTGTAGGCTACACGTAAAGCAGAGATGGACAACGTTGTACTAACACCACACAAACAAACGCGTATGTCTCGAGTACGCAGAGAAATAGAATCCAAACTAGCGCGTGCTACGTAAGTTATACGATATATGATCAGCTAAAATAATTTTCTTCCCGCAATATGTACCGTAATTGCAAAAGCAATATCGGTAGACGAACATATTATTCCGCCGGAAGTATTACGTTTCTTCGCGTCCTACGAGGAATTTCATTGTTGCATGCTTTCACGAACGACTCGCGGAAGTCAGAACAAACTATCTTTGATTAACATACAAATTGACGTAGAATACATTTATCGGACCAAAAAGAAATTAATTCCTCGTTTCGTACGATTGTTCCAAATGATTGCACAACGTAATATTGAAACGATTGATTCGATTAGTCTACGATCGATAAAATCGAGCATTATTCGATAAGATCGATTTTATCGACATAACTCGTTATCCCTGAGAAAAAAATACGTTTAAATAAGAAAGAAGAAATAAAATTATATCGCTAATATTCTATTTTAAAATGATTCAATTGAATCAAAGATAATCCATGATTAGAAAGAAAAATGTATTAATCTACATAAAATGATAATATATATATATATTAAAAATAGATTATCAAGATGTTTTAATGACCTCGATTTCACTGAGAGTCTTCGTGCATTCGACGATACATATGTACCATGAATATCAAAAAGGGATAGAAGCAATTGCTCAATCTTGAAGACCGTTACGGAGCATTTGCTTCTGGCGCGATGTTGTTGTTTACAATGTCGGCCGAACCAGTCAGCGTTTCACTAAGAACTGACAGTCTGTTTTCGTCCCTCTTAACTCGCTCCACCTCTCACAGTTCGTCTTTGTTTCCGCAATCCACTATCCATTTTCTCTATCCTTTTTTTCACTTAATCTCTTACTACGCCATTCCGTTCGACGAAGGAACCACTAAACTCTCATGCTTGTACGAAAACTACACGCGACTGCGTATCGAAATAAACTGCACGTGCGAATCAGTATTCGTTTTTATCGGTCTATTTACGCCGAAGATATATGTACAACCATTTTAAAAGGCTCGCTATAAACTACGTTCCTGGTTGTATCTTATTTTTGAAAGACACTCTCTAGATAACCGCTTATCGACGATTTAATAAACGAGATTCAAAACGAGATACTATCTAAGAGAACAATTGAGAACAATCTAAATTTCGTATTGATACGATGCGTATGTTCGATCAAAAATATTCGTGTAAACCGTGAATACGATTCGCCAAACTTTATATCGTACGCCACTTTTCTTTCTTTTTCATTCGACTTTGAACATCGAATGTTTCGTTACTAAAGTTCTCTTCTCCCCACTACGAGTTTTCCCCCTCTACTATTCCCTACTTTAAATCTTTATGGCGCGTTTATATATATATATATAATTCTAATTTTATTTTTGATTTATTCGCAAATATTATGCACAAATATACATATTATAAAATATATATATTTACGCATTATCATTTATTTAATCGATGACCTTGCCTTGTATCTCTGAAGTAATAAAAATTTGATGAGCATGTCGAGATAAAACAAATGGCGCGAAAATACAAAAACATTCATTCGAAACGCAATCAATTATTACGAAGGATGCATTATGTGAATTAATTGTACTTAATGTCGCATTTTTTTAGTTAGTGGAAAAATTATAATAGTAAAAACAACATTAAATTATAAAATATTAGGCGGTAAATATAATATTATATATTCGAATATTACACAAATTGAAAGATCACATTGATAGTAGAAAGATCTACGTAATCCTGATCGAACAAAGACCAAACATTGGATACGAGATGAACTCGGCGTATTCTATTTTTCATTTTATTCATATTTGGCAATGCTTCGAAATTTGATATCATATTAAATGTACTTTGAGTAGCAAACATATTAATCGAACCAATGGTGAGAAATTTACAAATACAAGTTGTTTAAACTTCAAAGAAAAATATATTCCGCCTACACGTTTATGATTCAATAAACTTTTAACCATCTTTAGATTTAAAATTGAATCGTTCTGGGAAAAAAGCATTCGAAGTATTCTAACCGAACGAATTCCTAAAAATTTATTACTATTATTAACGACCGTATCGAATAAATAAATATTTTCTATATTTTTTGAAGAAATCAAGTTTCTCGATATCGAGTCATCGCTATTTCGAGATACTCTTTCATATGCATTTGTAAATCAAGTTTCTTCAATCCTTTCATTTCATATAGAATTGAATCGATCTTCGAACAAATATTCCAGATATTGATTAATTCCGATCTCCAATATTCAGAAAACGATAATTGAAGCTTTTAACAACGAACACATAAAGGGAACGAGATCTTCTCCCTCCAACTTCTCTCCCCTTCCACAAACCTTTGCTCGAGGACACGTATGTACTTGAAACGCATCGATACGCAGGTCTCACGTAAAATTGCATCAGGCAGATAACAGCCTCGGTACATGTATATTTCTCACATGTGCTTGCGTGTCTCCAAATCCATTACGGTGAACCATTAACCGTGAGAATAACCATTAACTGAGAAGCTTGTTAATTACTAGCATAATTGATTAGCTTGATTTCGGTGAATAGACAAGGAATCTTCCAAAAGGTCCATCGAGTATCCATATTTGGTCCATCGATCCATAATTAAATTACTTTTAGAATCATATTTATATTTAAATTCATATTTTATTTGTACCACATTGTTAGAATAGTAATAGAAATTATGTCTGAATATATATACATAGTTCCCGAAAACACAATTTACAGCAATTATATTATTATCTGCAAAGCAATAAGACATTTAAATCTCAAAAACATAATTTATTTCGATACGCCTTTTTAACTTGTTCTAAGGCATGATGTATCGTTCAAATTTTGGTTTAAACGAAAAAAGAGTACGCGCGAGTAATTCAAAATTGCACTCATCGAATTGAAAATTTATACCATGAAAATATGAAAAGTGATAGTAAAATTGCATTATATTCATTAAATTCAATTAATTGTATTAAATTCATTACATTCATTTGATTCTTTGTATTGTTCGTTATAATATATTCATACATGATGAGATATGAGCGATACTTTGAAAATGAAGCTTAAACTTATACGTCATATTGTACCGCGGGAAAATTAAATTTTGATAGATTTTAAAAATAGAATTAATAATTTATATAATTAAAAAATAGAAATTATTTTAAAATATTAGTATTCTTGATATCTTTTCACATATATTTTAATCTTAAAATATAATTTTTATTATATTCTAATATTTCTATTTCGTAAAATTTAGAAAATTTTTAATTTCTTGTTTGTTTTATTTTATCTTTAATAATTTAACAGATTACACGATTGATAATTTATAAATTCTTTGTCAATCGTAAAATTGTTTGTAGCATTAAAAGCTATAAACTATAAAATCATTTTGATAAATCAATGAAAATTCTGTTTTCCTAATCAATAGTATCTGTTAATAAATTATAATAATAACTATATATATTATATACTATTTTCCTGTTCGAAAATTATTAGTAATTTTCCTTACTTTGATATTATTTGAAAGATATTCTAACGAGAATAGATCAGATGATAAAAACAAAGTTAGAACAGACGAAGATGTATATAAATATGCAGTTGCAATTCTAGAAGAGGAAGCAAACCTTGTCATTCGTGTTATGTGGGCGTCCAAGGTGAGCCTTTGCGATCATACGATGAACATTCTAATAGATACGTTTTACAACACTTTAAACAGTGTTTTTTAATGCGAATGAATTTATGTCAACAATATTATATGCTAATTATTATAAAAAATTCAATGTTTTTGCTAAGTCTACGAAAATGACAAAAAAATTATACAATGAAAAATATTTAAATATTCTATTACACTAAATAATATTAAAAAAATATTAAATAAAAACAATATGTTACATAAATATTTTAAGTTAATATATTATCATAATTTATTCCATATTTCTATTCGTTGAAACGTAGAATCAAGCATTGGTATTTCAGAAGTCTTGCTATACCGACAGATAAAATTTTCACTAACTTTGGTATTTTGTTTCTTTATGACCATGAACAAATAACAAAGGTACACTCGCATAATTAAAAGAACTCGAGTAGCAGATAATGGATACATTTCAAATTAACGCATAATAAAACAATTCTTCAAAGCATTAATTAATTTTAATTATTTTATCAGTATTTCATGATCTTTAATAAAATCTTTAAAGACGAATTCCTACTTTTATGTACTTCGCATTTATGAAATACAAAAGAATAGAAACTCATACGAGTAAAAGAAACTTGAATGAAGAATAAAATACATGCAAATAATAAAATCTTCGAGTTATTTTGATCAAAGATTCCATTCCATTATAAAAATCAACTTTATTTTATTCGACTCTATATAAAAATGAAAAAAATTTTCTAAAATTTTAATTAATTTAAACTTATTGAAATTTAAAATATATCTAGATGAAATTTATTTATTAAAAATTAATGAATAATATATAATATTATTAATATTTAATAAATAAAAAAAGAATTTGTTAATTTACCAAAAGAAAATTTGCAATATAAAAAAAATAAAAAATTATTTAGTATCATTTAGTATTTAGATTTAAATCAAATTTAAAATTAAGAAAAGAAAATAAATTTAGAAAGTGCAACAAAGCAAATATAGAAAATATAGAAAAAGATAAAAAACATAAAATAGA